TCTTGCTGAATGTGGAATCTAGAAACTACTTTCGGAAGAAAGTCAGTTCTTGTAACCAGCACCACCCTAACCTGATGGAACACTGTATAAGGTTCTTCAGAACTTAATGCCTGGATTTCTGATTCTCTTCTGGTGGATGTTATTGCTATAAGGAAGAGGGTTTTCTTGGTAAGTAAATACATTCCCATTTCTTCCAGTGGCTGAAATTGTACTTTTATTAGGGCATTTAGTACTAGAGGCAAGCCCCAAGGAGGCTCCAATTATTTGATAGGTGGTCTTATCCTCAAAACTGCTCTGAAAAATCTCATTATGAGAGGATTTATAGCCCATCTGGTATTTGTCATGGCTGAAATTGCCAAAACTTGTACTTTTAGGGTACTTAGGCTAAGCCCTTTATCCAGACCTTCTTGAAGGAAATTCAATATCTCCACCACGCTTGGTTCCTCACAGATGATTCTCTTTTCCAACATCCAGGAGCTGAACTAATCCCATACTTTGTGATATGAAGCTGAAGTAGAGCTTTTCTGAGATTTTAACAATGTATTAGAGCAGACTTTCCCAAACTCCGGCCCTCCAGATGTTGCTGAACTACAACTCCCAAGATTCTCAGCCTATTTATTTAATTCATAGAATCATAGGAGTTGTAGTTCAGCAACATCTAGAGGCCTGGAGTTTGGGTAAGCCTGTATTAGAGATTGTTTTCTCGAGAACCATGCCCCTAATTGAAGAGATTGTGGTGCTGGTGCACTGCTGGACCCTGGACAAGCAAGTCCCATCTGTGTGGGAGTATTATTGGGGATCTTTGGCTCATATGTAACAGAAGCCGGAACCAAGGTTTCCTCGGCCATGATGGGATGATTGCAATTCTCCTTCCATATTTTCCTCAGTACTTTGTTGATCAGAGAGGTATCAGTGGGAAAATGTATGCCATCTCAAACTCCCACTTTTGGGATAGGGCATCCTGGGCTTCTGCTTGGTTGTCTTTCCATCTCGAGAAGAATCTGGGGGTTTGTGAATTCCTTGATGTGGCCATCAAATTATTTGTGGTATTCACCATGTCTTTACTACCTGTAGGAATACTTCCCTGTTCAGAGACCTTTCTATTCCTGGTAGATATAATGTTTTTAGATTTTTCAGATAATTCATGGCCCAATGCATAATTGGTTCCATTTGAGAGAGTAGCTGATTGCTCTTTGTGCCCCTTTAGTGGTTCAGGTAGACAGCAACCACCCTATCAGTAGTCTCTTCCCCCTCAGGTAAATGACACATTATATAATTGCCTTAAAAACTGCTCTCATTTCCAGGATGTTGGACTGGAGAAATCGGCTCTGACTGTTCCATACTCCTTGCACTTGCATCTTTTGTAATTACTTCCCATTGGGGTCTTCTAGGGGAAATTCCTTATTCAAATTGGACTCCTTTATCCACCATATTAATTGAATTTTATAGGTTTTGGGGAATTATAATCCATTGATCCCAGTTCATTGCTGATTTGTTGGTCTGTCTGAGGAAGTTCATCTGGGCCTGTCTTGTTTTCCAATGTGTCCATCTGACCAGACCTATAGTTGATGTGAGGGATCATGGTACACTCATATATTGTCTTGCTTGTACTCTTGTTCTTAGAATAAGTTCTGATATTTTGTTCTTGATCTGAATAATACGATCGCGGGATAGAGAAATTGTTGAATCTTCTGTGTTTATACTTGCTCCTATGTGTCTGGATGGGATGAGGTTGCTATAATCCACCCAAATTATTGCAGAGTAGAAATCACCTCCTCTGATGGACTGCTGTGTGGTATTCCTGTGTTACTACCAGGATACTGTCCAAGTAGTGGAAGACTTGGATTCCTCTCTTCCTCATGATTACAATAACTGTGATGAGAATTTTGCCAAACGTAGCCCAAATGGCATGCCCTGGAACTGATAATGTTTCCCCAATATCTAAAGTCGTAGAAACTACTGGTGGGATTGATGTATTGGGATCTGATAGTACTAGTCTCTCAGATCTATCAATGTTAGCCAGTAGCCTTGATGGATACCCTGTTTTATGGAAGCTGTGGAATCTATTTTGAAAGACATATTTTTGAAATATACATTGATTGTTTTCAGGTCCAGAATGAGTCTCCATTTCCCGTTTGGCTTGGGAGCCAAAAATATATCTAAGTAGAATCCCTTGTAGTTTTCATTTTCGGGAACTTGTATGATGACTTCTTGTGTAATGTAGGCAGTACTTCATTGCTTTCTGTTTTATCTCTACTGTTGGAGAAAGTCTCACTGTGCAACTGACTTTCTCCACTATAAATTTATGCAGCGCTCATACAGCTTGGCTCTTTCCTCTGCAAAAGTAAATTACTTTAATAACCTTATAACCACACTCTCCTGCGAACCCAAACGACTATTTCACACATTTAACTCTCTTCTTTGCCCTGCTGTTCCTCCTCCACCTACTAACTTGACCGCCTCAGACTTTGCAACTCACTTCACTGACAAGATCTCTACAATCATAGAAGAGATCTCTCATCTTTCTTCTTCCCCTTACAATACTTCCCCTAACTTCACTCCCTCTGCTGTTCTATGTTCATTTACACCCACTACAGTAGAAGAGGTTTCTGCTCTGCTCCAGTCCTTCCACCCCACCACCTGCTCCCTAGATCCAATTCCCTTGCATCTCATCCGTACTCTGTCTTGTTATCTTTCTCTACCTCTCACTAAAATTCTTAATCTCTCTCTCTCTCTCCTCTGGCATATTTCCATCACCCTTCAAGTATGCAACTATGACCCCAATTCTAAAGAAGTCCAACCTATCCTAATTCTCCTTGGCCTTTCTGCGGCTTTTGACACTGTTGATCATCAATAGCTTCTTCTCATCCTCCGCAATATCGGTCTACAAGATACTGCTCTCTTCTGGTGCTCCTCCTTCCTCTCCCAGCGCTCTTACAGTGTTTCTTTCTCTGGCTCTGCTTCTTCTCCCCAACTCCTCTCTGTTGGTGTCCCCCAAGGTTCAGTCCTTGGTCCCCTACTGTTCTCTATCTATACTGCCTCCCTTGGTAAACTCCTTAGCTCCAATAATTGGCTTCCAATATCATTTCTATGTGGATGACACGCAGATCTATCAGTCCTTTCCTAATCTCTCCCTGTCCCTCTTGACTAGTCTCTGACTGCCTCTCTATTTCTAACTGGATGGCTGCCCACTTCCTTAAACTCAACTTGACCAAAACTGAAATTCTGGTCTTTCCTCCCTCAAGTGTTGTTACTCCTGTGTCTGTCTCCCTCCAAGTCAACGGTGCTACCATCAGATCCACTACGCAGGCTCGCTGCCTAGGTGTTCTCTTTGACTCCGACCTCTCCTTCACACCTCATGTACAGTCTATTGCCAAATCCTGCCGCTTCCATCTAAAAAAACATTCCGTGCATCCGACCCTACTTAATGCCAGAGGCAACTAAGGTGTTGGTCCATTCCACTGTCCTTTCTCGCCTTGACTACTGTAATCCGCTTCTCAGTGGTCTTACGTGCTCCCTACTTGTGCCGTTACAGTCCATAATGAATTTGGTGGCGAGGCTCATCTTTCTGTTCACCGCAATTCCCATGCCTCACCCTTATGGCTTCATGTAAGATATTGGGCTCAATTTAAAATTCTGGTTCTTGCTTTCAAATCTCTACATAATGCTGCTCCCACCTATCTATCCTCCCTAATACACAAGTATGTCCCGTCTAGGCCCTTGCACTCTGCTGAAGACTTACGTCTATCTTCTGTCCGTACTCCCACCTCTGATGCTCGCCTTCAAGACTTCTTGAGGGCTGCACCGTTCCTGTGGAACTCACTTCCCTCCTTCATAAGATGCTCACCCAGTCTCCACTCCTTCAAAAAATTATTAAAACCCCACTTCTTTATAAAAGCGTATCAATTAAATTGTGAATAGCTCCCGAATGAACCCTCTCTTGCAACTGTCATTAGTCTAATACTATCCTTCCCTTTTGTGTCATTTTACCTGACTGCCTCTAGCATGTAAGCTCATTGAGAAGGGCCTCAATCCCTCTGTTACTGTGTCACCATACCCCACTCCCTCTAACATGTAAACTCACTGAGCAGGGCCCTCAATCCCTCTGTTACTGTGTCACTATTCCCCACTCCCTCTAACATGTAAACTCACTGAGCAGGGCCCTCAATCCCTCTGTTACTGTGTCACTATACCCCACTCCCTCTAACATGTAAACTCACTGAGCAGGGCCCTCAATCCCTCTGTTACTGTATCACTATACCCCACTCCCTCTAACATGTAAGCTCATTGAGCAGGGCCTCAATCCCTCTGTTACTGTGTCACTATACCCCACTCCCTCTAACATGTAAACTCACTGAGCAGGGGCCTCAATCCCTCTGTTACTGTGTCACTATACCCCACTCCCTCTAACATGTAAACTCACTAAGCAGGCCCTCAATCCCTCTGTTACTGTGTCACTGTACCCCACACCCTCTAACATGTAAACTCACTGAGCAGGCCCTCAATCCCTCTGTTACTGTGTCACTATACCCCACTCCCTCTAACATGTAACCTCACTGAGCAGGACCTCAATCCCTCTGTTCCTGTGTCACTATACCCCACTCCCTCTAACATGTAACCTCACTGAGCAGGGCCTCAATCCCTCTGTTACTGTGTCACTATACCCCACTCCCTCTAACATGTAAACTCACTGAGCAGGCCCTCAATCCCTCTGTTACTGTGTCACTATACCCCACTCCCTCTAACATGTAAACTCACTGAGCAGGGCCCTCAATCCCTCTGTTACTGTGTCACTATACCCCACTCCCTCTAACATGTAACCTCACTGAGCAGGCCCTCAATCCCTCTGTTACTGTGTCACTATACCCCACTCCCTCTAACATGTAAACTCACTGAGCAGGGCCCTCAATCCCTCTGTTACTGTGTCACTATACCCCACTCCTCTAACATGTAAACTCACTGAGCAGGCCCTCAATCCCTCTGTTACTGTCACTATACCCCACTCCCTCTAACATGTAAACTCACCGAGCAGGGCCTCAATCCCTCTGTTACTGTGTCACTATACCCCACTCCCTCTAACATGTAAACTCACTGAGCAGGCCCTCAATCCCTCTGTTACTGTCACTATACCCCACTCTCTCTAACATGTAAACTCACTGAGCAGGCCCTCAATCCCTCTGTTACTGTGTCACTATACCCCACTCCCTCTAACATGTAAACTCACTGAGCAGGCCCTCAATCCCTCTGTTACTGTCACTATACCCCACTCCCTCTAACATGTAAACTCACTGAGCAGGCCCTCAATCCCCCTGTTACTGTGTCACTATACCTCACTCCCTCTAACATGTAAACGCACTGAGCTGGCCCTCAATCCCTCTGTTACTGTGTCACTATACCCCACTCCCTCTAACATGTAAACTCACTGAGCAGGCCCTCAATCCCTCTGCTACTGTGTCACTATACACCACTCCCTCTAGCATGTAAGCTCATTGAGCAGGGCCTCAACTCTGCTGGCCGCTCACTATACCCCACTCCTCTACAAACCAAATCGAGCAGGCCTCAACCTCTGTCACTGTGTCACTATACCCCACTCCCCAACATGTAAACTCACTGAGCAGGACCTCAACTCTGTTACTGTGTGTGTGTCACTATACCCTACCTCCCTCTAACATAACCTCACTGAGCAGTACCCTCAACTCCTCTGTCACTGTGTCACTATACCCCACCTCCCTCTAACATGTAAACTCACTCGGAGCAGGGGCCCTCAATCCCTCTGTTATTGTGTCACTATACCCCCACTCCCTCTAACATGTAAACTCACTGAGCAGGACCCTCAATCCCTCTGTTACTGTGTGTCACTATACCCCACTCCCTCTAACATGTAAACTCACTGAGCAGGGCCCTCAATCCCTCTGTTACTGTGTGTCACTATACCCCACTCCCTCTAACATGTAAACTCACTGAGCAGGCCCTCAATCCCTCTGTTACTGTGTCACTATACCCCACTCCCTCTAACATGTAAACTCACTGAGCAGGCCCTCAGTCCCTCTGTTACTGTGTCACTATACCCCACTCCTCTAACATGTAAACTCACTGAGCAGGCCCTCAGTCCCTCTGTTACTGTGTCACTATACCCCACTCCCTCTAACATGTAAACTCACTGAACAGGCCCTCAGTCCCTCTGTTACTGTGTCACTATACCCCACTCCCTCTAACATGTAAACTCACTGAGCAGGGCGCTCAATCCCTCTGTTACTGTGTCACTATACCCCACTCCCTCTAACATGTAAACTCATTGAGCAGGACCTCAATCCCTCTGTTACTGTGTCACTATACCCCACTCCCTCTAACATGTAAACTCACTGAGCAGGGCCCTCAATCCCTCTGTTACTGTGTCACTATACCCCACTCCCTCTAACATGTAAACTCACTGAGCAGGGCCCTCAATCCCTCTGTTGCTGTGTCACTATACCCCACTCCCTCTAACATGTAAACTCACTGAGCAGGCCCTCAATCCCTCTGTTACTGTGTCACTATACCCCACTCCCTCTAACATGTAAACTCAGTGAGCAGGGCCTCAATCCCTCTGTTACTGTGTCACTATACCCCACTCCCTCTAACATGTAAACTCACTGAGCAGGGCCTCAATCCCTCTGTTACTGTGTCATTATACCCCACTCCCTCTAGCATGTAAGCTCATTGAGCAGGGCCCTCAACCCCTCTGTTACTGTGTCACTATACCCCACTCCCTCTAACATGTAAACTCACTGAGCAGGGCCCTCAATCCCTCTGTTACTGTGTCACTATACCCCACTCCTTATAACATGTAAACTCACTGAGCAGGCCCTCAATCCCTCTGTTACTGTGTCACTATACCCCACTCCCTCTAACATGTAAACTCACTGAGCAGGCCCTCAATCCCTCTGTTACTGTGTCACTATACCCCACTCCCTCTAACATGTAAACTCATTGAGCAGGCCCTCAATTCCTCTGTTACTGTGTCACTATACCCCACTCCCTCTAACATGTAAACTCACTGAGCAGGCCCTCAATCCCTCTGTTACCTTGTCACTATACCCCACTCCCTCTAACATGTAACCTCACTGAGCAGGCCCTCAATCCCTCTGTTACTGTGTCACTATACCCCACTCCCTCTAACATGTAAACTCACTGAGCAGGGCCCTCAATCCCTCTGTTACTGTGTCACTATACCCACTCCTTCTAACATGTAAACTCACTGAGCAGGGCCCTCAATCCCTCTGTTACTGTGTCACTATACCCCACTCCCTCTAACATGTAAACTCACTGAGCAGGGCCCTTAATCCCTCTGTTACTGTGTCACTATACCCCACTCCCTCTAACATGTAAACTCACTGAGCAGGGCCTCAATCCCTCTGTTGCTGTGTCACTATACCCCACTCCCTCTAACATGTAAACTCACTGAGCAGGACCTCAATCCCTCTGTTACTGTGTCACTATACCCCACTCCCTCTAACATGTAAACTCACTGAGCAGGCACTCAATCCCTCTGTTACTGTCACTATACCCACTCCCTCTAACATGTAAACTCACTGAGCAGGGCCCTCAATCCCTCTGTTACTGTGTCACTATACCCCACTCCCTCTAACATGTAAACTCACTGGGCAGAGCCCTCAATCCCTCTGTTACTGTGTCACTATACCCCACTCCCTCTAACATGTAAACTCACTGAGCAGGCCCTCAATCCCTCTGTTACTGTGTCACTATACCCCGCTCCCTCTAACATGTAAACTCACTGAGCAGGCCCTCAATCCCTCTGTTACTGTGTCACTGTACCCCACTCCCTCTAACATGTAAACTCACTGAGCAGGCCCTCAATCCCTCTGTTACTGCGTCACTATACCCCACTCCCTCTAACATGTAAACTCACTGAGCAGGGCCCTCAATCCCTCTGTTACTGTGTCACTATACCCCACTCCCTCTAACATGTAAACTCACTGAGCAGGGCCCTCAATCCCTCTGTTACTGTGTCACTATACCCCCCTCCCTCTAACATGTAAACTCACTGAGCAGGGCCCTCAATCCCTCTGTTACTGTCACTATACCCCACTCCCTCTAACATGTAAACTCACTGAGCAGGACTCCCAATCCCTCTGTTACTGTGTCACTATACCCCACTCCCTCTAACATGTAAACTCACTGAGCAGGGCCCCCAATCCCTCTGTTACTGTGTCACTATACCCCACTCCCTCTAACATGTAAACTCACTGGGCAGGCCCTCAATCCCTCTGTTACTGTGTCACTATACCCCACTCCCTCTAACATGTAAACTCACTGAGCAGGGCCCTCAATCCCTCTGTTACTGTCACTATACCCCCTCCCTCTAACATGTAAACTCACTGAGCAGGCCCTCAATACCTCTGTTACTGTCACTATACCCCACTTCCTCTAACATGTAAACTCACTGAGCA